TATTCCAATAATCAAGCCCTTTAGGTCAATAAAAATATACATGAATTAATTACTTATGTTAGTGACAGCCCGTAATATAGACTTCAATTGAATCAACAGCATTTTTTTCTCAGTGTACGTATCGATATTTCTGATTTAATACTTTCGTAATGTTTGACATGTAATTAAGATTTATCTGCGATATATACACAATAGATTAAATTATTTCTTAATATTCTCATTCCTTAATAATAAATCCAAATACGTTTTACATTAAAAAGTCATTTATAAAAATTTATTTAAAAAGATAGCATAAATAAAATAATATTGTACCTTCTTGAAAATATTTGTAAAATCAAATAACTATCACTATATTTCAAATATGATCTTAATGATTTCATTGAGCCAATATCTAATAATGAAGATTCTACAGAGAGGAACTCTTACGAATATAGAAAAAAATATAAATAAAAGATTCAGTATTTTATGACATTGCTTCACGTGTTCAGATGAAAAAAAGATGGGTTTCAAACCGGTGTTTACATAATAATCTACCGCGCAGTTTATGTAATGACTATCCTGAATTAGAATGTGATAATGAGAGAATGATTCGTGCAAACAATAGAATATATTGAAGTAACATCAAATGCATAATTTCCTCTCACAATTAAAATTTAAATAAGTTTATAAATTATAATTAAAATATTTAATAATCAAAGCGTAATAATCTAATATATCATTAATATTTTCTAAGTTACTTGGATATTTCGTCGAAATAACATTTTCATCTTTTTATTTTGTATGTTCGATGACTCTCAAAAATTTTGGACACATTGACGTGATTGATTGTATCGCTGATCGCATAAGGATCTATTGATCGTACACTGACAATACTAATTGATGAAAGAGCCCATCACTCTCGCGATGGGCGATCAATATTCTCAAGGATAGAAAATCGTGTTTGTGTCGCGCGGATATACATCTCACAAATTATACCAATTAAATGTAAGCAAAACCAGTGTATAAAGGCGGCACAATACATAATAACATATTTCATAAAAGTTTATTCTGGATAGAATGCTTCGTCAAGACAAAACAAAAAATCAAGATTCAAATAACTCATCGTGCGTTTTGATATCCGTCAATCATGACTTTTTAACGTGGATTATTCCGCTTCCCATAATTACGTAAGCTTATTACATTCACGCAATATCAATGATTATCGTGATGATCTCGCGAGCCGAAAGTGGTAAAGTACAGAATGCGACGGATTAATTAAAACGTTGAAGTGCAGATTATCCGCGCCGGTTTATTATCGCGATTGAACTGCAAGAGAAATTCCCTTCTTATTGCAAATGTTTGATTTTAACACGCCACACACGCAATGTATTTATAAATTGAATTACTGTTGAATGTCAAATTGGATTAATTGTAAAGTCATTAAATAGAGAAATCCAGGATTTCATACTCTTTAATTCACTGTTCAACCGGATTACAATAACAACACAAGTGGTCTAAGTGATCGAGCGAAAATTATGTTAGAATACGATTTAAAAAGAATCCTTACAAATTCTTACGAAAACAACTTCGTGAAAACAGCAGTCAGAAGAAAAGTAATGTTCATTTTTACACTATGAGAAAAGTTAAATTTAGAAGGTTCAGAAAAGTTCAGGTTTAGTATATAATTTAATGTTTGCCCCCCAAAAAAATGACTATAAAAATTACAGTTAAATTATAGTAACGGCAATCATCATAACTATAATTTTTACGTTGCCAACTATAGATATTTGTTGATAGAAATATACATATAATTATTATTATTAATTATTATTATTAATGTTATAAATAAGCAATAATAATCTTAATTATGATAACATATAATTACGGTCACAGATATCAAAAACTTTTCTCTCAATATACCAATGAGATTAATTAAAATCTCTGTTTAACTCACTTATCTTTTTCTTTAGTTTTAAAAATTAGAAAAAGATAAAGCGTAAATGAAGTCAAAGTTAATCTACACTGGTGAAATCGGACCAAGAATAAACAACGATCTTATAAATGTAACCTACAATATATAATCTACGACTTCAAAAAGTTATAGGAAATTTTTTGTCCGATTGTTATTTTGTAGAATGTAAAACTTTCGTTCTGAAGAAATGCGATAGTTTCTAATCCTGCATTACACTGGACTTAGACGCAAACACGAAGAATTTCTAAAGTAGTATCGAAATTATATACAGAAGATATTCAGGTCAGCCATTGCAAATGGTGCCACCGGAATACCGATTCATTCCTGTGAGGCTTCTTAAGAATTACTATATTTTGTTTGCATATAGAAACATATAATGTACAATCTGAATGAAGGTAAATCTGTGCTGCTTATCAAAACAGGTCACGTTGAAATACATGCGCTAAATGTTCATGTATGCGTTTCCATATTAATAATTTCCCCGTTAAAAATAGACAGTATACTTTTTTACGCTTAGACTACACGTGACCTGAATAGAGACCATTCGATGAAAAAATGTTAACAGAGTGTCTATTAAATTCTCGCGTTCGGAATCAGGATGTGACGATTTGTGCGCGATTATACATTTACTATGAAGAGCAATTTTGTCCTACAATCGTACTGGTTTGAAAAAAAAATCCGGTTTTATCGCCGCAAAAGCGGAAGAGAATCGACGGAAGAGGGACCACGAGGGGAAAGATTTCACGCTACATCGCCATTATTAATAACCTCGTGCGTGGCCAACGATGAAACCACCATGCACTACTTTACGGATTGTTTCCGTCTAGGCGATCATCCACGTCCGTCTGGCTTGAATATGCGTTACGCGTCACACTTAATCTCGCGACTTGCAGCTGCGACTGATCTCGTTAATGCTTGTTGACGACGATATCAACAAATTTACTTAGTCTTCGGAATAGATAAAATTTTCGCGAAACAGAGTGATAAGAGTATCACGAACATAAATCAGCAAGTAAAGCATCTTCTAGAATTTATTAGAATCAGTCAAAAAAGAAACAAACATATTTTAAGTGACGTTTATTATGGGAAATACACTTGCTATTCCCAATATATTAAAAATTAACATCGCTAATGTCTGCCACTATCTCGTACGACTTCATGTATATTCCAAAACGTAGCAAAGGTGATTCACAGTTATGCAAAATAAAAACTAACGTAAAAAAAATATTGAGCAAATACTGACAGTATTTTAATTAGTATTTATAAGTATTTATAAGGTCATATTTCTTTTCTCAAAAAATGGATATTATTTTATAAAGAATATATAAGAGAATTATGAGAAGTAAAACATCAAAAAATGACATTCTTCATTTTGCTGTTAAAATAAAATTAATTATTATCGACGAAGATTATTCACTTTCTTTATTTCTTTTTTTTGCAACGTTAAAAAAATTTATATACATATAATCTTTTATGTGCGTATAGAAAGAACCAAGGTTACATACATTATCCCGCCAATTGATTATAGCCGTGTTTATGTCTAAACTGTCGAAATGATTATCACGTGACAGCTATAAGCACAAACAATAAACCAACATAAATCCTAAACTTCTGTGTTTTTATACATTTAAATTACAAAATCTCTCATAAACAAGTTATAACGTCGTGAAATAATAAATGTGCAAAATTTTGATTATACCGGTGTGCATTTGGAGCAGCAAGATTGAATAAATATTTTTTAACTGGTGCAGTGCCATATTGGTTTACGTAAATCTTTCGTTCATTGATAAAGCCGTCGACCTCGTTCGATGTGATGACCGTGAATTTGCAAAATCGATCAGTCTGCCGCAAATTGATAACAAGAAACTTGCGAATTGATAACGATTGAATGGGAACGTTATGATTCCTCACTGATTGAGTCAGTTAGGAAGTTAGTTTACTCAGAATCGACGACAAACGCGTTGATGAAGAGGGAATCTAATGATAAGTCTTTCAGAGAAACGTTATGATATACTTCCGCCCGATATCAGCGAGACCGTTCCAATCCGCAGTCAAACAAATCGCAAATTCATCAATTTCCACGAAGCGTAGCATCTGGAATCTTAAATTCTGCACAAAAACGAATGGGGAGTTTAACATTGATTTACAACGTTATTCATAGATATTGGATTAAGATTTCAATATTTTCATACACCGAAAAAAAAGTTTCGTCGCATTAATTGGAATTCTGGTTGAAAATGAACAAATCAGAATTTTCTGGTAAAATCTATTATAATTTTTGTTAAGATAACCAGAATTTTAATTGATATATGATCGTTCATTCATTTTCAATCAGAAATTTTTTCTCGGTGTATACAATAAATTTTTCAAATATATTAATTGACTACAAAAAATAGAAACGTTTTCGAATCTTCAAATTTTTTAACTTGTTATCAATTAATACATTTGAAAAATTTGACATGCAATATTGAAAAAAATACTACATTACAAAAAATATCTGTTTAAACAGTTCTAATAAATATTTACTAAAAATGTGAATATATATTTATTCAATACAACCATCATTAATTTGATTTAACTATCATTTTTTATTGAGTAAATATTTATACTGGAAGTAAATGTTCAGTTAGCACTGCGTAATACTTTATCAGTGAATAAATGAAATATTAGCCTTCAGCTGTGTGTGTGCTGTATTACATTTGTCGAAAAATTATTCAAGTCTGTTGATTGGTTATAAGAGATTCGAGAACTTATCTATCTAATTAATCAAACAGTTAACACGTTTGAAAAATTTGTAACAAATAAAATATTAGCCTAAAGGCGCCTCCAGACGATATGGCCAACGTATGCCAACATTAGCAAATATCATACACAATATATAACATACATAATTATCCATATTTAATGTAGTCAATATTTAACGAACGTGTGCATAGTTGGCCACTTTTACAGTGTGCGTCGACAAAGAATGCACGACAAATTCCAAGCTCCTAACACCCACAGGTGGACGATTACTCGCAACAAGCACCAACAATACAAACATTCTCACCTAACGAGTTTCGTGACAAAGCGACCGCGGTTCCTTCTCGCGACTTTCCTGCTCACCGAGAGATCACTTCCAGCCGGCCGTCGTACGCTTTTCCCACCGCGCGATCGCGGGAGAGGAAATTATCACTAGGCACGATTCAGGAGTGTCGGTGTGAAGAATGATGTGGTGTTCGCATATATGTGGGTGTGTATGTGTGCGTGCAGTCTACTCTCTGCGTCGCACTTCTTCACCACGTCTCACTCGCGGGCGTGCCGTGTACGTGGTACAAAGGACAGGGTGTGCGTGTTGCGTAAAAGCGAGAAGAGGAGATCGGAAGGTGGACTTCGAGACGGTCGACGAACGACTGAATTTGCGCCGCGCCGACACACCGCGACACACATCAAACATCTCGACCACCTTTGATCTTTGGTCGTGGACCGACCCGCGCGTGGACCCTGGGATTTCGCCCCGATAACGCCACGCGACGATCGGAGGTGGAAGTGACGTGCGCACGAGGCGCCGGGACAGCTGTTCGCGAACCCGGGACTCGGGACGAGTCGGAGAAACGGGGGGGAAACCCCGCGAATGAATCCAACACGCGTTCTGCTTTCCCAAGTCCACGCGAGCTCTCGGTCTCGGATGAACTCTCGAAAGGCAGTTTGTTGATAATGAGACTCGAAGCGATCTCGGACGAATACTTGCTTGAATCACATTGCAATTGAGTCTTTTGCCGGCGAATTCAAAAGAGTTCATTCTAAAGGAAACTTGTGACCTTCATCAAGATGATCCTTGACCAGATCATTAAATAATTTCTAATATGTTACAACGCTGAATTAAACTCAAAGCTCGGTTCTCGCAAAGCAATAAAATATAGTTCAGGGTCAAAATGAACATAAAAGGGAGATGTTTCAAAAATCTATTTTAGAAATAAATAAAGTGTATTATAGTAAATATTAAACCAACATCTTCCTTTTACGTTCGTTTTGACTTTTAACTATATTTTATTGCTATTACAGAATTGTTAATTAGATACTACGTTAAAATATTTTATGCTTCGAAGAAAATTGCTAATATTTTTCCTAAAATTAATCATTTACGCTCGAAGATTTGCGAGGAAAGAATAAAAAATTTTTAATAAAAATAATAACCGCTATGTGAGATTATCGCTTTTAATATCACGATTAGCAAATTCTACGTTTCGTATAATGAACTTTGCAGTTCCGTCATGTTATTATCGAACACGTGGTACTTATTAATCGGGTCAAGTGAGGAACTGATAATCGAAAGATAGTCAAATAATCGATGTGCCAATTCACATGCAATATCACGGCCAACCAGGTCGGTGCGCGTGCTCCGGCTTCCACGTTCCAAATAATCTAGAGAATCTAGAGTCAAGTCCAATTGCGAACGCCAATAATACTGCGCCACGCTAAAAGCCAGAGAAACGCGTAATCCGAGATCCGCTTGCTCACGCTGCAACGTCATCAGCCTCTAGGTATATAGAACGAGGAAGAAACGTAGTTTCTTTTGTCGATGGATTCTAGAAGGTGCATTCTAAAGAAAACTCGTAACCCACATCTAAAACCTGTCTTTTTAGCTAAACTTCTGGCATGGTTTGTCTCTTCTCTTTTTCTTCTCACGTTGGAGAAAGAAAAAAGAGAAAAGGTAGACAAGAAGCTCAGCTGGAAAGAAGAAACGGATCTCTCTAAAATATTTTAGAATCTCTAGATAGTCCCCAACCAGCGGCTAAGTAAATTCTAATAAATTACAAAATTGTTAATTAGATGCTAAGATCATTTAAAAAATTTACATTCCGAAGAAAATTTGCTTTTTTAAATTTTACTAATTTAAGGCATTTAAATAGCACTTAATTCTGGAGCATTTATATTTTTCCTATTTATATGTTGGATATATATTTATTGTTTATATGAAGACATTAAGCTTCTTATTATCTCTAATTATCTGTCACACGTTTGGAACAAAGTTCGAATTATAGCGACTAATTAGTATTTAATTTTCATCGCGTTAGCATTTACCGCTAATTTGATGGAAATCGTATGAATCGTATATATGAAGGATTAGTAAAACATTGTGGACAAATCGCATTATCAGCACACACAAGTTTTCATAACACATCGTTATTTGTATTATTCAGCTGTATCGAGAAGGTCAATACTTATAAATACTCGATCAGCTGTAATTTCTCAATCAATTTTTCAACATCTTTCTCAATATTTATCAACAGAGTGTTCAAATTTCAATCATAATTACATAACAAAATGAGATATCAGAATATTTTCAGCGAATAATAAACAATGTAAAATCGATATAAATAAAATAAATTATATAAAATCCGTTGTTATTTGTTAAATTACATGTAAAAAAAAACCCTTGTATTTAAAAAATCAAACACCATCAATTTAGCGTTAAATAACCTAACCACGTCTGCTTATCAAGATTAGTGTTAAAATAAACCAATCAAGTATTTCTTCTCGGATCACCCAGTATACCGATAGTATCACGGAAGCGTCGCTTACATTCTTTTAGGTCGTGGTCGAGGATCTCGCGCGGCGAAGAGCTCCGATCTCACGGAATTTCCACGTTACACGTGCCGGAAGAGTACACCCGCAATCTCCGAGTTTCCGCAGACGCGATCTATCCTCAATGACGCTCGATCCACGACGCCATCGCATCGCCAATTCACCGGATCTCCCACCCGACGACGTTCGTTCCCGCGCGCGAGTACTCCGTTGAATCACACGCGTGCCACGCAACCGGCTTCAGGTACCCGTACGCACTGACGGCGTTGCCGGACACGAACCGACCTAGTGATCAACGCCGCGGCCATCTTGCAGCCTGAAACTAGCGGGATCGATGGGACGCTGCGAGCGTCTCCTGTCGGCGTGGCGTGGCTTGGCTTGGCTTGGCTTTGCTTTTCTCGGTCAAATGTTTTTCCTTTTGGACGGTTCTTTAATGGTTCAAAAATAAAGGAACCTGAAGGTCAATCTTGTAACTTTTTTTCTAGAGCGGAAACGTAAAGTGAAATAATTTTTTTATGTATGTACATAAAAATTTGTACTTTTCACGTTTCCATTGAAAACGAATCCAATTAGATTTCGTCTTTTATTTTAATTTAGGATTTCAATCGAGTAACTTTTTCTCTAACGTGAAAAGTGACAATTTTTGCATATACATACACAAAAATTTTCATCTTTCACGTTTCTACTTAAAAAAAAAAAATTGCATGGTTAATATTCTAAAAGGCAGATCTTATTTCAACCGTCTTAAATAATATCTTAAAGTGCTAAGGCGACTTTGTAATTAGCTTATAACATCTTAAAACTACACTTAAGATAGTTTTAAATACAAGAACTGATTATAAATACCAGCTTAAAAGATTAAAATAAAAATTCTTAGACTAAAAGACGAAGCCTAATTAGATTTGTTTTATAATCTCGAGTTTCCAAACGTTCGTGACAACCCTTATAAAATACCTTTATAAAATCCCCTTTATAAAATACGAACAGATTCGCCTCTCTCACTTTAAATTCTTCTCTGTAAAACAGTTAATTCAAATATTCGGTTGATTCTTGATTTTTACTGCCTCACCCTTGATTTTACTTTACAAGTGAACGCGTAAACATTCGGCGCGTTTGGTTTTCGCTAAACAATATGTAAATATGATACACTGTGAAATCACTATGAAATATTCCATAAACGACGATAACATACATCCGGCATTTGCCAAACGCCGACCCGAGACTGAAAAATACTGTCGAAAGTACTTGCTAATAAATAAACAAACGTTCTTTTCGTTACGTTCGGGAGTTTCGCGGATTTCTTTGGAGGATTTAATCTTTGATAATCAAAATGTCACATTGAAAAATTATATACCGTTGAAATAAGAGAGTAAAACAAGTCTGTTTTTTCGCGTGTACATTTATACTCAAAATTCACATTTGTCGTCTTACTGTCTATTTCTACCAATATCGATTAAATTGCGGATGACGCCATTTTTGTTCTGCTGTCATTTCAACTTTTTTCTTTTTTCATATTAGATATACAATATAAAATTTTAAAAATATGTGAATACATATATATAATACAAACAGTTCTAATGATATAAATTATAAATAATATCATAATTTTTTACTAACCAAAAACCAGGATAGGAAATTATCAATTTGGCATTTTCGGTGATTTTTTAATAGAAACTTTAATCTCTGTCTAACTTAATTTTTACTTTTTTTCTAGTTATAAGAATTAGAAAAAATAAAGAATACAATAAAAAGTTTGATGTTAATCTGTATTGGTAAGAATGAGCAGTAAAGAATTTGGAGATAAACAATCGGGAATGAAAAATTGAACCAAGATTAAACTATATTGATAGAAACGGATACAAAGCCTACAGCATAAGACGTATTTTTTCCTACTGAATTGTTTGCGTTTTAGTAAATAGAATTGCACCACACAGATAGCCCATCATTTCCAGCAAACTAAAACGCAAGCAGTCATATAAGAAACAATGTATTGCAAAAAATGTGCCACGGGCTCTAGACTAATGTTTTATTTATCGTATGACACATTTTTCAATCACGTTAATTGACTGTTGAATAGAGAAGTTCTCGAGTTTCTAGAAATCCTCTATCTTGTAGTCCATTATTGATCAATACGCTCGAAAAATTCGTCGTAGGACAAATAAAATATTAGCCAAATCAAAGGAAACGGCAGACGATTTTCGAACGGATGCCTTTCTATTCTTTCTCCCTCCATTATCGTAATGTATCGGTCGTGACCCCTTTGCGGGCCGCAATATGGTCGCGCCGGTCACTTACGGAGTCGCACGTGTCGGTCAAATGCTCAGGCGGGTTCCAAAAATATCGCATTAGAGTGAATTTTAAATCATCTGTAAAAAAACGATACTCAAGCGAGCAACGATTACGGGCGTTATTTGTTTACATGGGGAATTAGCATACATATGCTGTCGTATTTGTTATTTTGGCTTGTTTTTTTTTATTTCTACACTGGACTGCATCATAGAATTTTTTTTAACTTTAGCCAATTAACATCAAATAAAATATATATCTACATATTTCATTTAAAGTTTTAAAAGTATGTACTAGTTTAGCTATAAAAATAGACCTACGATGTCTATTTCTATCAATGCAGATTAACTTTAATCTCGGCTTAAATTGCTTTAATTTAAAAAATTAGAAAAAGATAAAGAGTAATTAACCCAAGATTAAAGTTGATCTAATTGGTACAAATGGGATATAAACCTAATAAGAATAAATTGCGCATTTTTTTCAGTTGTCATTAATAGTTTAGAAAAAACAAATCGTATCTCTTTCGCTCTTTCCTTCTCTAAAATATCGAATTGAAGGAAGATGCTGATAGATTCAATTCTTTCTAACGGAGCACAGCTGTCAAGATCAGGAAATGCGCATTTTATACCTATACTACGTCTCTGAACAATTTACGTGAATAACGCGGAAATTTCGAACGATTATTGTTACAGGATCAATCTACAGTAATCTACCTTTCCGTATACACGTCGTGTACAAAGATAAATGTCTGTTTCATACATTCCATACGGTAATGCGTGCACGTTGAAAGAGTAAACAATCCAATCTACGCTCTTCTTACCTCGAGAGTACGTGAGCGCTTCACGGCTTTTGTTTAGGATGACAAACATCGTTAGTACACAAACGAGAGAGAGACAGGTGTCAGAATCAGAGACGAAACATTGATACGTTCGCTTAATTTACGCAAAATGATCTCGACAAACTACAGATTCTAGGCGCGTAACGGATTACGTTCAACTTTTGCGAAGCAGGAATCCGTCCGTCAGATTACGTACCTGATTTACTAAAAAAATTACGACGCTCTCGCTGCTAAAACGTTCAGCCGAATGATCTGCAATTCAACTCGTATCGAGACGTGCAATGTGTGCCGGCTGTCAGACAGGACTCATCGCACTACGTTTCAAAACGCACGCTGTGGATGTACTCAAACTCACGAGCCGTTAGAAGTCCGACTCGGAACAGCCGGTACGCGGCCGCGAGATCTCAATATAGACGGCCGGCCTGCGCGCGAACCAATCGGACGGCGAGTCGTAGTGGGCGGGGATGTGGCGTGATCCTCGGTGACGTCACGCGCGCCGTTCCGCGATCGATAACTTGAAACTCGCGCGCGCTACGTTCGCACGAATTTCACGCTGACGCGATGCACGATGCACCTGCGATCGATCGTATATATGTGCGTGTGCGCTCGCGACACACGAATTAAGATTCGCGATTTTTTTTTCCTCCTCGTCAATCGAATCGCGAAATCCGCCGAATGGATTGCGTCCGTGACTGTAAAATTGATGGAAACGCACTTTCGGTGGAATTCAAAGACGTCGTCGTTCTCGTGCTCTCTGTTATTTAAACGGCGAGTTTTACCAGGAGAGCAGAGATTTATTTGCTGCAGGTATATTTATCGACGGCGCGAACGATTTATCGTATGTGAAAAAAATTCGTACGATCGGTTTTCTCGGAACGTTGTGTTTTGGGATTACGGAAAGTTAAATATTAATCGAAAAAATATTTTGACATGCATGCATATGTGATATAGATTAAAGATATTTGCGTTTCGTGGTCGGCATGAAGGCATGTACTATTTGGAGGATGATAAAAAAATAAGATATATTTCAATTTTATAATAATACAACGGCTAAGATTTCAGAAAAACGACAGAATAACAAAATTTAATTGGACAATTATTTATATGATATAATAAAATTATATAGAGGAAAGCCTCCTAATATAAGATAGGCGCCCAATATGAGATAGCGGCGTTTCTGCTAAACTAATAAACGCTATCTATTGGTTCCACCATGAATTTATTGCTCTTGGATTGAAAGCTATTTAGTAAAAAGTTCATTATTAAATCATGCCTGTAATCATTGTAAAAAAAGATTTTAGAATTTGTGGATGTCTTCAAGCTTCATTGACATGAACCTTTAAACTTTGTTTATTATTTAATAAATAAATATTTGGCAATAATTCTTCATGTAGTGATAGAGTAAGGTCGTGCTAATAGAAAAATACGGGATATGTTGAATTGTTTAATTGCAAAAGTTAGATTTGATGATCGTAAAACCGTAAAGCGTGGAAATCGTAATATGAGATACCCAGGGTATTCCTAATATGAAATAACCCATGCTCCTATGTTATAGTGAAAATCGTTGCTAAAATATAAATGTTATTGTACAATAATAAAAAGAACAACCGGAATGAACGTCGAGTGCCTATTTCTACAATGCTTGATTCGAACTACCTGAAGACGAGTTCTGGGTATAATCTATCGCATGCTCATTTTTTACGCACGCTGGCTGTGTTTGTTTGTATTTTAGAAACATTAAATGAAGTTTGTTAATTGCAATACTGATATACTTTGCGTTTTACTATCGATTTCTCAGGGCATCTCATATTAGGAGCATAATTCTTTGACTTTGCGATTTGTTCACTTTTTACATTTCTTTAATTTAAAAAAAAAATGAAATTTCAATTAAATTTTATATAACGTTATCTTATTAAATTCCCTTTCAAATGACCTATTATTTTTTAAAATTCTGTCCATATAAACTTCTAGCATTTACCCAAAATGAACTCGGTATCTCATAATAGGGGCCTTTTCTCTACATAACTGAGAAAAATTATTTATTTAACTAAATTAATTTAATTTGTTAATTTGTTTTTATTTCTCTCTTCCGAAGAATGTATGTACTTAAAAGTCAATCATATTATAACTGAAATATATACATTCTCTAATAAGAGAAATAAAATCAATTAATTTAGTCAAATGAACAATTTTTCTTCGGTGTATAATTAAACTTTTCTTTTAATTTTTGCATAAATATTATAACGAAATTGACATATTGCAAGTAAATATTATTTTCTAATAAGTAAAAAAAAGTTTAACAAAATTGATATAAAGTTATATACATGAAATATAAAAAATAAAATCAAGAACTTCTCTGATAATGAAAAATACAATTTTTACGATTCAATAATTTGTTTAATTTCTATATCTGATAAATATTGTAACGAAATTATAATAACGTACCTAATAATATCGGTACATACAGAATGTTCGGCAAAAGATAGGAGAAAATTTAAGAAGTGATTCTAGTTGATAAAATAAGACAAAAATTATGAATAACAAAATTGCAAATTCGACTTTATTTTTTAATCATAAATTTAAATATTCAAGTAAAAAGTATAAAATTTAAATATTCGCATTTAAAGCACGTGAATATTTAGACATTTACCATTAAAAAATAAAGCCTCCGCCGAAATTGTTTTAATCTTCATTTTATAATTCTGAAAGTTTAAATATTCACGTAAATATGCATATGAGAGAGAGATATTTAAATATTTATAATTAAAAAAAAAATCAAATTCACGAATTTGTTATTCTTGATTTTCAATCTTATTTTATCATCTAGAGAATTGCTTTTTACATTTTCTCTCCCACTAATTGTTATCGAATACTCATCTGTATATAAAAAATAGGAAATCGAGAACTGTCTCCAATATTGATCATCGAAAAGAAGCGCGAGTTCCTACGATCCAACATTTCTTTTAATTTCTGTATCTGATAAACATTATATTAAAATAACGCAAACATTAACATAACATCGAAAGGAATCGAAATATCTGCTGGAATGGATTGCATCACAGATTGCGAGGATATATTTGCGCGTAGTAAAATTACAGTAACATTATATATATATGGGAAGGATTAACATTTAAACTTTATTAAAACCAACAACATAGTAACAAGAGCAACAGCAAGTCGATGTGCCTCAAGCAGCCCGCGGCAACTGCATCCCCCGCTCTTTCTCGCTCGCGCTCTCTCTCTCTCTCTCTCTCTCTCTCTCTCTCTCTCTCTCTCTCTCTCTATATTCTCTCTGTTCTTACAAAAAAATCAACCTGCCTCGTGTCACCCTATCACCGCCGACCACGTCGAGCTCGGGCGATCGTCACTGCGAACGAGCGAACGCCTGGAGACCTACGACATTAGTAACATTTGCAAATGAACACACAGGATTAGAGGTACTACCGTCGGTGACGAGGACGATGGCGATGAAACGGTACGCAATTTTCGCACAGTCGCAACACAGAGAACACAGAAAATCCCATTCGCGCTAATGATCGGTCGGACGGCCCCTCACGGCCGCCACTACGATCGCTACAAGCAATGCAAGGAGACAAGCGAGCAAGAGCGTGGTGTGCGTCGTTACCGGATCGGTTAGGAGGTTAGTGACACGGGGAACGTGCACGTCGTCCCCGGCGCGACGACGCGATTTCGTGCGATCAACAAGCTCGCACATTGTGCGCTCACCTTCGCGGCTACCCCCGCTTTGCGCGTCTCTGCCACGCGCCTCGATTCCGCTAGGCAGTACCACGGTCTCCTCCTGATCGCGTTCCCGCTCCTGCCTCAGGTTGTCGGCGATCAAGCTAATCCTGCGGATTGCATTGTCCTCGCTCTCGTCCGCGTTGGTCACAGCGGCGGTGGTAAACGGCAGCGTTGCGTCGCGGATTCTCCCGTATCTGATACCCAGGTCCTCAATCTCCTTCTCATGCTCGTAGAGACTGGCCGCGGCAAGTTGCAGGTCGCGAACGGCCCTGGACAAGTCCAGCTCCATGTCATCGGTAGAAGCATCCTCGAGGTGACTGATGTTACCTTGATCCCCTTCACTGCTCATCAAGGAATTACGCTTTGAAGCTACACAGACAGTCTTCTCGAGTCTCGGACTGACGATGGGCCGATCGTCGCTCATTGTTTCATCCTGGCTGTACGGCGTGGAGCTGCTCCGCATACTACTACTTTGGTCCTCGATCTCGGAGTTACGAGACACTGACAAATTCTTTAGGGTGGACAGGCGACTGTCGCGTAAGTGGTCGGCCACGTTGCCGAAAGCCTCAGCGATCAGCTTGACGTTTTCATCCGCCACGCGAAGATAGAAATCAAGGTTGTTGGCTGCCGGTGTCGAATCTGATGAAGACCTCGTGGAATTCGAATCGGTCGGGCTCGTCGTTTTCTCGCTCTCGACATTCCGCTCGTCGTTGGCAATCTGCGACCCTGAGTAATGACTACCCAGAGAGCATATACGTACGCTCGCCGAAGGTTCGTTGATCTCGAGTTTGGCGTCGAAGTCGTTGGATTTATCAGCAACGATAGAATCGTTCGCCTTCGGCGATTCGATTACATTCGGTGATGCCGAGTCATCGTCGCTTTTTATCAAATTAACTAAATCTTGGCAGAGACGACTGTACGCGGTAAAGTCTGTCTCCGTGCTGCGAATGCTATTGGCTGCCGAAACGTTGGAATCCGAATGTAGATATTCGTGCCAAAATCCGTCGTTCAGGATGGCCTTTGAAGACAGCGTGACGTCGGACAGCTCGGTGACACCCGACTCCTTCTCCTTCTTGGGACTTTCTCGCGTGGTCGTAGCCGCTGTCGTTTCTGACGATACGTAGGCACACAGCTTCTTCCGATACGCGCCCACCGCCGGATGGTTACCATTGATATCAATGTCACTTTTAATTGCTAGTTCTTTCCACCTATGCGCATCGTTATCAGACAGCTCGCCGTCGCTCACTACGCGCCTGAAATATTCCGGTCGCTCGGGTGTCGCAGCGAAGTTCCTCCTAACATCTTGGATCTCATCTTTGATAGCGTCGAGACTGTGCTCGCGTTGAAGGTGAATCCGATCGTGACTGATGAGCCCATAAAGATTGGCCGATAGCGACCTAACGGCGCGTTTCTTGCTGCGAGTAGCAGCCTCCAGCTGTTCCCTCGAGACGTCGATCTTACTCTCCGCGACGTTCCGCGCAACGTCCTTCCTAAGGGCTCTGTAAGCCAAATCGTCCGTGACCACGTCAGGCTCACATTGCGGTATGTACGACGAGCGTGGCTGTTCCGATTTCGTCGGCGTCGTGTGCAGGTAATCGCTCTCGGTCGCCGCGGAGACCGGCCCGAGCGGTATACCGAACGGTGGCTGCGGATCGATTATTCGGAGAGTATTGTTGGCATGATTTATACTGCGGAAGAGCACGTCGTCGCGGGTCACGTCTGGCTCGTCCCGACGAGACGAATAAGCCGCTGGCAAGCGCGTAAGATCGTCCGCTGAGTCCCTTCGCGAAAGGACAGGTGAAGCGATGAGATAACTGATGCTGGACAGAGTCGATTGTCCCGCGATATCCGAGAGCGATGTGGGTCTCTCCTTGGGATGCATCCTCCGATAAGCCATATCGTCTTTCGTCCTATCCGGTGAATCGACAGTGATCGCAATCACATCAAGCTCGCTTTTACTTTGTTTCTGATTAAACTCCTCCATACTTCGACGTTCCGCGCGATCCAACAGATCCTCATCGCCGAGGCGAAGGCTGTTGTATATCGCTTCCAACTCAGACAGAGCTTCTTCGAGGTTTTTCGAACTTCTCCGTCTTTCCAAAGTTTCGTCGGTCGGTGTTATTCTTCTATTATCTTCTTTTTTACTCCTCTCAGCGCAATTATCTACGTCATAGGTCGACGGGGTAATGATATGCAAATTACGTTGGTCGCAGGGAGATCTTCCAGATGACCAATCGGACATAGATAGGTGCGATGAAATCGCCTCGTGATGTTTATTCGTTTCGCAGATGTTCGCTGATTTATTCCTGGCCTTGTATACGTGGTAATTCGCGTCACTGCGATTAAGCTGATCGTTGCGAATGTTTCTACGTCTCGTTGTTTCGATTTCCTTGTAAGCCAACTCGTTCGCGCAGTGATAGCTCGAATTATATTTATTATTTATGCGCTCCAACGAATTACGGAATTCCGTTTTAGGATTCGACATCGAATTTTCTGATTTAAATTCTATTGTATCGCGCCAGGCGATCTTATTGTTTGATCGAAAGTTCCTCCAGTTGGGTCTTGATATTCCGCTTGTAGTCTTATTGTCTTCTTGTTTAAAGTAATTTGGCACATTTTGGTGTCTATTCATCGGATAGGAACTATAGCCGAATGAGCGATAACGAGGATCCCTCGGAGGTGGCTCGGGTGGCTGATTGTCCGGATTGATTAATCGGCGATCGACGGCGCAATCGAACGATTCCGAGTAATGGCACGCGTTTTTTGCGGGATATGTAAAGAAGTTTCCAGATCGATGACTGTCCGTGTACACGTCGCCGCTGTGATGTCGCGCGATCTTCCCGTAAGTGTTGTTCTGATTCAAATCCATGATGTATTGCCCTGTAGAATATCTCCTGATGTCGGGATGCTGTAAGCTCACGCGTTCCGCATCTCGCAAACTTTCCACGGAGGATTTTTGAACTGGAAACACACGACAGTTTGAATACGCAGCCGATCGACGCGGATGTATGGGCGGACGACACAGTCCGTTCGTATCAGCGTAAACAACGCGTTCCTTATCTTCGGTATAGTCTGAGGAACACCTTTGGTTATACAGCTCGTTCAAAGTATCACCGCTGCCATTGCCCTCGTCCCGAGATAAGCGCTTGATGTAACGCTCCGTCCGAGCAGCGCGAGTTTTTCTATTGCACATATTACTTCTCTGGCTATTCTGCGTGCTATCCGTGTGAAATCTGTTTAGCGAACTGTTAGATCTGTGACAATCCTCGTCGGAACTGCTGCCCACGCACAGATGATCCCTCTTCGCTTCAGCCCGAGCTTTTAGTTTGTTCTTTCGAAACTTCTTCCCTAAGCCGTCTAACGAACCGTCGCTACTACGTGAATGCAACGAATCTCGACAAGAATCCTTCACATGGCGAATGTTATTTTCAACTCTTATCCGTTGATCGTGCTCCAAATTATTTTCTATCGAGTGAAGGACAACACCATCGATTTTCTTATTAAATTTTGCAGGCTTTCTCGGTGTTCTTTTGCAATAGACGATCTCTTCATCATTAGAGGAACTGTCGTAATCCTTTATGGAAGATATTCGTCGCAGAATTCCACCTATAGACCATTTCTTGTCCTTTTTCTTATCCGAGGCACTAGATACTGCATGACAAACTGGTAAACGCCGGGTTGGAGGCAGGAGACCGTCCATCCTCAACACATCTTTCTTGCGCAGCCCCTTTTTCTCCATAGTAGATATCACCAAATTTCCTTGGTGTTAAGATATCTGAAAGAAAAATATTTTGTTAATCTTACAATTTTCAAATTCCACACAATAATACATTATAATACGTTCCACTGGATGTAAAAGCATGAATTTAATCATTTTATTCCAGAAACACAAAAATTATTACATCGAATTACTACATTCACAAACTGCAATTTGTAATGTTAATTGAGAGAGAGAAAATTATAAATAAACAAACTAAATATTTAATAACAAAAGAATACAAATAGTGTAAGACGTTATTAAAGTTTCATACGTTCCCACATATTGTATTCTACCTACATTCACTGGATACAAAAACATTTTGTTCATCTCACAATTTAATTTCTGCACAATAATGTATCACAATACGTTCCAATGAATATCGAGCATGTATTTAATAATTTCATTTCAGAAACAAAAATTACTACGTTAATTTCACAATTAATTAACGCTCTCTAGAACCAATTTTTTTCTTTTTTATATTATTAAATATATATAGCACACAGAATACTAAAAATATATGGTATATGAATATTAATAGAATATAAATAATTCTAATGATACAAATAACCCTTAATACACAATGGATCGTTTGGTTAATTTCATCACAAGTATATAAAAATTATTGAGTGATTCTTACATCTTATTACTTTTACATCTTTAGAAAGTATTTGTAAAGTTGTGTATTTGAAAATGGAACGCATACGGAGACTATTATTTGGAGCCAGGTGCTCCTAGTATATTTCAAAGAAAAGAAATACGCAGACCTAACGTGAATTAGGAAACAATATCAAAATAAATCTTCATCAATTGAAAACAAAGACAGAAAATTCTATTAAAAATTAGCACCTTCAACAGTTCTAATATAATAGTATAATTTGTAATGTTAATTGCGGAAGTCATAAACGCGCATTGAATATTTAACGAAAGGAATATAGAAAGTTCAGGACGTTATTAAAGTTTCATATAGGTTCCCATAGGTATATTGTATTCAACGAACGCATTACAAACTTGTACAATACAAACTTGACGACCACGTGTTCGATACTATCACTCTTCGTATCTCATTAGGTTAAACGTTCTTTTCAACGGAAAATCCGCTTTGCGAGTAAGAATCACCCAAAACGCGTTACGCGTCTTTTACGACACGCACGCACGCACACATATACTTGAGATTACTCGCTCGACGTTCTTAGAAAACGTCGGAGAGCCCCGACGCGATAAAACTCATCCGCGCTCACTCGCTCCGATTATAAATACACCCTGCGTCGCCTGCTGTGCAGTGTGCTGTGCACAGAGTGTGTGCACTAACCTCCGATGTCGAAATCGGCGTGACTGCTTCCTCAGCCCGGTGAGCCCGGACCCGCCAAGGGCGCCAAGTCGCGAATAATGAGTCACGAGTGCCAGATACTCGATCATTGAAGCTACGGCGACGTTGCAGCTGCACGCAACGAGCGGAGGTCAGTGCTCGTTGTCCAAACGGTTCACAATCACGATAACGACGTCGTATCAATCGCTCCTCGCACCTCGCACACTCCTCTCTCCCTGGGAACGATCTTTAACTGCTTTGACAGCGCCGCCGTCGCGTAAACGTCTCGTTCCGTGATATGCGACGCCCTCCTCTCTCTCTCTCTCTCTTACGACTCTTACTGCTCCAATTTCACTGATTCTCGACAACTCTATACTCTCTCATAAGCAGCCAAGAGGCCCGAATGACCTCGAAACGTCCATCTTACGCAGGAGGAAGTACATACTCGACTCTCGGAGCAGTCGGAGCAACATACACTGAACTGAACGCAGACGGCAGGACGGCCATTACTCGGCGAGCGTCGCGCCAGCGCTCGTAAAAGGCACGACGGACACACGATGGGTCACGGGACGGTGTAGTCGGTACCAGACCGGCTGCTCGCCCAGCTCGCCTCGCACCGAACTTACGAGGACTGAGAGTGAGGAGACTAGGAGAGGAGGACCCGAGCTGCCCGAGCGGCGAGCGGAGCGATTCGTCCTCGGGACCCCACCCATTGCTCGCTCGCTCGTTCGTTCTCCACAACTCCACGCGTGATCTTTAAAAATCCTCAGCCGAACACCCACGCGCTGCACACGACTGATGCCCGTTTCCACCAATGCAGTTTAACTTTAATATCTCGGTTCAACTAATTCTTCATCTTTTTCTAGTTTTAGAAATAACGCCCAGTTCCACAGCTCACGGTTGAGTTTTAATCCATTGTCTCTTTCCAATTCAAATTGGAAAGAGATATAAGAAACAAGTTGAACCTCAGTTAACGAGTTAATCGTGAGTTGTGGAACTGGACCTAAGAAAAAGGTGAAGAGTAAGTTGAACCGAGATTAAAGTTAATCCACATTGATAGAAACGTGCATAAGGCCCAGTTTCGCAACTCACGGTTACCTCTTAACCGAGGTTCAACTTGTTTCTCACATTTCTTTCCAATTCTAGAATTGGAAAGAGATATAATGAATAAGTTGAACCTCGGTTAAGAGTTAACCGTGAGTTGTGAAACTGGGTCTGAGTGTACAGTACTGTACATACAAGCGTTTCTTAGCGCATTCCCTCCACGTCTCAAGTCGACTGGATCGTAGAATCTTATACTCGAGCGATAGCGACAAAAAACAGGCCTGTTCTTTTTTCAAGCACGGCTCCACTAACGTAATATCATCAACTTTAATCTCGATTTAATTTACTCTTTATTTTCTAATTCTTTGAATCAGGAAAGAATAGTGAGTTAAACCAAGATTGAAGTTTATCTTGTATTTGTGGAATCGGGTCTTATGTCCATTTCTATTAATGTAGATTAACTTTAATCTCTATTTAACTTACTTCTTATCTTCTTCTAGTTCTAAGAATTAGAAAAAAATAAACAGTAAATTAAATTGAGATTAAAGTTAATCTTATATTGGTGGAATCGAGCCTATGTCTATTACTCATCAGTTTCTATCTCGATTTAAGTTACTATTATTTATTCTTTTCTAATCTTAACAATTAGAATTAACTACTTATCTTTTTCTAATTCTCTCTCTAATTCTAAGAATTAGAAAAGAAATAATGAATCATCTACCTTTGGTAGAAATAATTAGTTGAGCTTCTTGCATTCATCTTCCTTTTTTCTTCAATAAAAAATTACTTTGTATAATTTATCAATTAATTTGTTTTTTAAAGTAATGGCCTTTACTTGCGACTGCGTTTGTTAATTAAACATTCTTCTAAACAGCTGAAATAATGTTAATGAAAAATAAGTATTACTGCAAATATTTTTCCCAGAGTTCTAATATATCTTAATTTGCCTAAACTCTAAAAGTCAAATATCTAATCTTTAAGAGATAATACAAGTGCGTCTACTCGACAACAAAATATCGTCATCGTTACGTTTACCCTCGTTGATATCAAGTGATTAGAATCTCTTAGGGAACAACAGAATAAATAAATACAACAGTGTGAGTGTTAAGCTTTTTCGTTTATTGAAAATATCTCTGTAAAACGTGTGTATATTGTGGCCAGGCGAAGTAAGCCGACAATACCGAATCTTCGACAACGAAATGAAATCGGGTAGCAAACGAAGAGATACGGTGAAGACATTGAAAACAATATAGTCAATCGTATTTTTTTTTTTAGTATCTACATAAGTAAAGGACGAATCAACGATGCATTCGCTTACTTTTTAATCTTATTATTAATTATATTATGTATAACAAAGCGGTAACAACTTGTTAATTGTAACTATTATGATAATAATCGTTTACTTTATATAATTACAATAATATAATGTGTAAGGATCGTTAACTAATCGATAACAAACGAATCGTATCCTCCTCCTTTTTCTTCTCTTTTTATTCTTATTTTCCCTTCCTTATCGTATCTTTGTTTCATCGCGTCCTCCTTTCGCATTTCCATTTTGACCCAATGTCGATCGTTAGCGTAAGTCGTTTTATTATTATTTATTTTTTTCGCGCTCATCCCCCTCTCTTCTTCTTTTTTTTTGGTATTAATTATTTAACAACAGTTTTTTATCCTCTTATTATATTTGCTCTTTAATTTAATAATCGTAGTAAACATAGTAATTATTTATAATATTGTGCAAATAACCCATATATTTTTTGTTTATATATATATATATGTATATATATATATATATATATATTCCTTTTTTGTTATTTATTCTGTTAATAAAAGTCTAAGTAATGAATGTCATATTCTCAACGGAGGAGCTTCTCTGTTTTCTCGCTTTTTGCTTTTTGCGCGCGCGCAAAGTCACAAGCACCCGCGAATCACGTGTCCGCACGACACGCGCGAGCGCGTACACACACACGCATACACACACACACACACACACGTACCGCAGATTTGTTTTGCTGCAATGGACGATCCTTCGCGCGTATTTTTTTCTGTTTTTTTTTCTTTAAATATTTCGACAGCTAGCTTCTTCGTTAAAATTGGATTCTCTCTTAACACGTTTCTACCTAGCTTGACCCATGGCAGTTGCTTGTTCATTTATACTGGCCGACAGGCTCCGTAGCTTGACACTTTACAATGCTTTAGCCCAGCGCTCTAGGATTTTTGTTTCATATTTATTTATTTATTTATTTATTTTTTTTTATTTCATTAATATCATTATTTATTATCTCATGACGTAGGATTAATGATTCGAGAGTATCGAGACACTACAAAGCACTTTTTTTCTTGCTATCCGTTTAAGAAAATTTCCGTGCATTTACGATTAGTTAACTTAGTTCTCTTTTATATAATGCGTAACGGCAGTATCGTCCTCGGAGAAAGTACGTTAAACCACGTCTTACTTCGCTTAACGAAGGAAAACCCTTTATTATTATTTTTTGTTATATCTTACAGCCGTCGTCGCGCAAAAGCTGATATACCTTTAATGTACATTTTGGAAAAAATGAAACGAAAATTAACGAAGCACACCACGCACACTCTTTCATCCCCCTTCCTCTTCGTGACATCGCCTTCGTCGTCGTCGTCGTCGTCGTCGTCGTCGTCGTCGTCGTCGTCACTGTTCTCGTCGTTCTCGTTACCATCCTCGTCAATTGCAACGTATTGATCAAACGAATGTGTTTTTGTTTCGCATGAAAACTTTCCTCTCTCACGATATTACCATTGTTACCAATCGATTCTCGAGCAACCTTCACGAGACGCGCACGAAAGGACTGCCTTCTGAAGAAAGATTGTCAACTAAAAGTGCGTCCCATTTAACGTTTCATTCACGCTCGCGAGTATCATTTCTGCCCATTTCCATCAACGTAGATTAACTTTAATCTCGGTTCAACTTACTCTTCGTCTTTTTCTAATCTTTAGAATCGGAAAAAGACGAAGAGTAAATTGAACCGAGATTAAATTTGATCTACATTGGTAGAAACCGGCATTCATTCTTCTCGTCATCAAATATTAAACAAGGATGAGATAATGCACGCGGCATTGCGAACATTAAATGGAATGCACCTCATACCAAAGTAACGAGATGACATTTTAACGGTATCTTATTAACGTTTAAGACGTTATTAGGGACGCGTTCCACTTTTAACGTTCGCAATACTTGCAAGCATCATTTCATCCTTATCACATTTTCAAATATTAAACAAGGATAAAATAATGCTCTATTGCGAACGTTAAGTGGAACGCACTCTTGATGTCACGTTGTTATTTGGATGAATATAGTATAAAGACTGTTAGACGTAATAAGAACAAACGACGCATTTCTGTAAATCGATTATCACTATCAGTTTAGAAAGAATGAGATAGCTTGAATTATATCGCTCTCTCTCAAGTGTCGCGTTAAAGAGAGATGCTGATACAATTCGATTCTTTCTAGCACAGATACTAAAATCAGAGAATGCGCAGTTTATATTACGTCTATCGAAGAGATCGATAAGAAATATCTCGATGAAACGAAAGCAAATCGATGGCTGAGTCATTTTGTACAATGTGGATGCGCGATATAATTAATCAATTTAATCGTTTATTGGAGGGGAAGTATAAGAGAGCGTGAAACATTTCCAAAAGTTCTTGGAAACGTTTGCACGCTTTTCGACCCTGCATTCGCATTTGAACGCTATTTTCAACGAGTATTGTCTCATCTTTCGCAAGACAGTTCTCTCGCTTCGATTCGGTACCACGGACCAAGTGCTAATCGCCGATGAACACGTTGCGATCAAATTATTGAGGAAGTCGCGATTGAACGCGCGGCGTCTAACATTCCATCCGTCGACGAATTGACTCATCGCCGACAATACTTGAGCTTAAAGCCCGTGTCACACTACACTTCGAGGATTGCGAATAAGACATTATACTTTAACCAATCAGAATAAAATTAATTAAAATTAAAATTAGTTGACTTATCAAATTCTATAGACCTTCACACTTTAAAGACGGTCAAAGGATGTTTTCTAAGGATATTCCTAAAAGGATCATCGGATAAAATATGATGCCGTGTGAAATTCTAATCTCTCCAATTCGCAATCTTTGAAGCTGAAGCACAGATCTATGCATAAAGCATAAAAAATCAACCAGATTTTTATTTTATGGAAAGGAAGGGAATGAAGGACTTTTATTGGTTTATTTTATTACGCGTTATTCGTTACACAAGACTCTGTGCTCTCGTTCTTAATCTCCAATGCGTAGCGAGATATGGGCTTAAAGCGAATTCACGGCGGTCTGCATTCCAAAATTATCTCGA